TCAGCATCAGCATCAGCATCAGCATCAGCATCAGCATCAGCATCAGCTCCAGCACCGTTACCTTGGAGGCTCACCCCGCTGACCACACCCCGAGCACGTGAGCCCGTGTGGACCATCCCACCCAACGACCTGCGGTAGGAACGTTCCATCCAAAAGGTGCTCAACCTCATCAAGTAGTAAGTCCGAAGATTAAAAATTTCTAATAAATAGTAATCACAAAGGTTGGCTCAATCCGGATCAGGATCCCGTCCAGACGCGAGTCGTTTAAGAGAGGCGTGGGACAAAAAGCAAGCATCATTTGATCGAACCGGGCGACAGATTTTCAAAATCTGAAATCCGAGACGTGACACATGTATGATAAGGTAGGTTGTCTTGGAACACCTTGGTCAGTGGTGTAAGTGATATAGGTTCGTATCTAGCTCTAGACACTCTGTATTTGATCCAATGCAATGGACCAGAGTAATTATTTATGTCATGTATAAAAACGTATATTATAGACGTACTGTTCAAAAAATTAGTTCGAAATTATGTCTGGTTTATTGAAATACCAAAACAACTAGCCTTGAACCACCTTGGACAGTGGAGTAAGTAGTGTAAGTTCGTATCTAGTCAGACACTATGATGAATGCTTTGAGTAAGTACATACAGAATCAAATGGTTGTTTGAATCGACACAGAAGCTATTAAATAAATAGATTTTGTACGAACTATACGTTCCTTGTAGTTCTAATCAGTATTTACAACCAAAAGCTTCTCTTTAAAATGACTAAATTGAAATGATTGACTTGTATGTTTGGAAGTTGTTGGACAATTTTTGTTATGATAACATAGGGACTAATTGTAATAAAAATTCCTTTGGATTTTCTTAAAAAGGAGCAGGTCTAAGGAAAATCTTATTTTATTATATCAACAATAAATGCTGTTTACTATGAAAAAACAAAATGGAAACGCAACTAAATCTCATCATACTCCAATCCATACTCCAGTTTCAATATTTCTTTACATACTTTTACACGAATTACCTTCTCGACGCCGACGTGCCAACCAGTCAAGTTTATTATAAATTTCTATTAGAAAATGACGAACTACTACGATGTACTTTACCAAAACAATACAGAAAATAAACTGTATAGCTTCGAAAGTGATTTCATACCTGTCTAATGGCAATAGTGTTTAATAATTTAACTTTAACTCGGAAATGTTTAATTGTCTAAGATCGATGCTTCAATTTTGACCACCTCTTTCGCAGCGTATCGTACACTTCAGAGCCTGGAAGCTGTTTTTTTCAAAAGCCCACTCGACTTTGCACACGTATCCCGTTACTCGTGACACTTGACCTCGATGCCGCCCATGTTCGTGAAATGGGTGATTCGAGTGAAAAGGATAGTCGCCTTCTGTAATCCTCGAAAGGCAAACGGAAGTACAGCTGCCGCAGTTATTGCACTTTGATGAAGAAAAAAAGTCTGATGCGTGAGTATGTGATTAAACTAGGAGCGTGAATTTTTAGACGCGGAAGATTGTAAGAGGAGAAGTAACGTTTAGGGTATTTTAGAATTTGTAACTTTCGCGTTAAAAATAATTAACGATTTCTAATAGCAGTTCCTAAACTTAACTATTAATTTTTAAGACCCTTACATGTGACTAATTTTATTTTATTTTATTTCGATACGGATTTTTTACTAAAAATAGTACATCAGAATATTTTATTGTCACATTACCTCGATACAAATAATCCACATTTAATATTTATTAAACAGAATTTTCCCGAGGCTCTTCTGCATTTTACATAAACCTAAAAGCTTCCCAAAGAGATAATTAAAAAATGACCATCCCTTCCCTTTAAATTAAAGTTTGAAAACTTTGAAAACCTTTGAACGGCTTCGAAGACCGAACCGACTTCGTTATAATTAATTATTCACGCGGAACATGAATAATAATTCCATTTTTAACTTCCCCCTTTTTCACCTTGGTTAGCTTCTAACACAGCAAAGGACTTGGAAACTTCGCGTAGAATAATTCACGAAATTTAATTCTTTTAAATTGTAATGAGGGGATTTCTAAAAGGGGATTTAATTTTATTTTTTAATAACAAAACACACCTGTCAGCGTGGTCAGTGTGCTTTCATTTAAAATACTAGGTTGTCCCAAAGGTTCTTTCGTTTTATTACCACGTGATACATGCATGATATTTTACGTTTTATGTTACGTTACTAAGTTGTACAAAGTATATTTTGCTTTATTAATTTTTTTCATCCATTTGGAAGCAGTATAATGTCCAGACATTTTATGGTTTGGTAACAAAATAGCATTTCAAGAACATTATCGTATCGAACTAAAAGAAAAAGAACACGTTTCAATGGAAAGAATAAATAATAAACACTTGGGACATGTGAAAACTTTCTTATTATTTCTTTTATTGTTGTAAAACTTTTATCGTTATATTCCTGACATTTTTCTGATTAAAATGAGTCCAAACACGACGTAATTCGAAACATATTTACTTGTAACAGTTTATTATGTATCATACAGGGTGTCCCAAAAATTTTTGAGGTTCTTGAAAGGGGTGGTTCTCGGAGTTATTTAAAACAACTTTTCCCTTAGCGAAAATATTGTCCGAGGCTTCGTTAAGAAGATATTAACGGAAAACCCTGACCAATCAGAGGTCTAAGATTTTTAGGACACCCTGTATATCGTAGAACACTAACTAAAAAAAGGTGAATAGTAAATATCGTCTGAATTATATCGTGTTTGGTCTCATTTTAATCAGAAAAATGTCAGAAATATGATAGTAGAAGTTTTACAACAGAAAATTTGAGAATAAAAAAGTTTCATCGTTGGATTACATTGTTTCACCGACACACCTCGTTGTTTTCGCTCCGTCCTCTTCTTTACTCGCTGTTCTTTTCTACCTTCGAAGCTTGACGGCAAACATCAGGGAATGTACGAAGTCTACCATAAATGCACTAGTTTAATCCCGAGTTTACCACAAATGCACTAGTTTAATCCAGAGTCTACCATAAATGCACTAGTTTAATCTAGAGTCTACCATAAATGCACTAGCGTAATCCCGAGTCTACCATAAATGCACTAGTTTAATCCCGAGTCTACCATAAATGCACTAGTTTAATCCCGAGATGCATTTATGGAGACTTTACTGTGTTCCACTTTTATATTAACAACGCGTCAGAAAAATGAACATTGATCCCCTCTAGGATCGTGAATGATGGTACAAGCGAAAAGGGCGTAATTCTACATGAAAAAATAAGTCGAAAATATTTAATCCTATCTAGACTCCTCAAGAGGTATACCTCTGCGTATAGTTAGCTGCGAGATTTGGTATCATTGGCAGTGTTAAAATAATCTAATATTCTCGTAAAAGCTTTCTTTGATTTATCATACTTGTAAACAATTCTCCGGTATAAATGAAATTGATAAAATCTTCTTCTCAGAAATAAAATGTTTATTTACATAAACACTGTTAGATAAAGCACCCTCACATCAAAAAAATTTCATACCCACGATTCATTAAAAAACAATTTCTAAAGCGTCTTTTAAAACGTCCTTTACTTTCAACTTTAACTTGAATAATGAGACGATTGTGAAAGTCATGAAGTTAACGTTTTTTCGACGCCACGTATCGTTATTTCTCCACTTTTACTACGCCTGAAAGTGCCCCTGTAGCGTATCGAAACGAATCCAATATTCCATAATAGTTTCCCGGTGTCCGTGCGGGGCTAACCCAATTAAATTTCCCAGCGCGTTGTAAATCGCTCTTTGAAGAATCGAAGCCTCGCTTCTTCCATCCCTGAGAGCTATTCTCTCAGCGTTCGTCGAACAAGCTACCGCGCACAGGGACCCGACGCAACACGAAAACTGAAAGCACCTACCTGTTTGTCAGGCTCTTTGCCTTTGGCGGTGATGAGACGATCGCAGTAGCATCCCTCCAACATAATGACGCCGTTGGGCCTCGAACAGTGCTCGTTCTCGTAATAGAACAGCAAATTCTGAAACAGACATCGACGCCCTAATCAGTTTTCACTGAATGGGACCAACTCTCGTTTCGCGATTCGATTTTAATGGGAAATGGAAACGGATCAGTTCTCGGAGAGTTTAAAAGAGTAATTGCTGGTAAAAATATTTTGTATATAGCGAGGAGTGTGTCTTAATGGAAATTCAAAATGTTTTTGAAGGAATTGATTCCCAGAGGGGGATGTAGAATAGCGTATAAAAGTTGTAGTGAACTTATAGTAGATTTCATATGGTATTTTTAAATTTTTACCTTCAAGTGCAATAGGAGTTATAGGCAATTGCGAGCAACGCGCTCTAAAGAAGTGAATGAACATGAACAAGGACATTTTTAAAATTGAAGAAAGAATACAAATTTTAATTTAGCCTATATTTTATTTTTGTCAATACTAGTGTACGATTTACTGTCTGAAATTAGATAAAAATAATATATATTCAATGAAGAATTTAATACTTAGTACTTCCTTTATTTTTATGACAGCATTAACTATTCTTGAACAACCTTCATACTTTCAACTTTCAATTATTAAGTTTTTAATTATTTCATATAATTAATCTGATTCAATATCATTTCAATGAATTCAATATGATTTTAATGATCCGAGGATCCTGGGTTCGAATCTCCGTGCCTTATTTTTCGTAGAGACTCTTTCAATATGAAGTTTAAAAATCTCTCAAGATTTTCCTAAGATGTTCAGAAACTTCAATTTTGAGAAATCAGAAAATCACATTCGACTTGTTAATAGCTCCAATTATAAACAATTCTCGGTAGCCCAAATGGTTTAGAGAAGGTCGAGCAAAGGCTAACTCACCTGATACAAAACGAACCATCGTAATTGCCACTTAGCTGAGTCGGCGGTCCGCTTATGCAAATATCCTGTCATGGAATGGTCGTACTGCGCTTTCTCCGAGATCATGATGAGCTGGGAATCATTCACCCTCACTGCAACCATAAAAAGAATATTCCTCGTAAATTGCAGGCATCGCGAAACTAAATCCAAAACGTAATTGTGATATTAATTTGCAATTACCCGGAACGCGTCGCACAGTAGTCCGAAGGCCGAAAACCAGACCAAAATGCAATTTTTGAAGTTTCGAACACACTTTTTTCAATATTGTGCGTATGTTGTATGCATATGAGTGCATTACATGAAGTTTGAAATTTACAAAAATAGTAATCAGCTACTGATCACTGATATACAGAGGTTCAAAGTTGACGAAATTTCATGCTCCTTGATATCGTGAAAAGTGGCGCATGTTTATTGTGTCACAGAAAGTTTATCCTCAATAGATTCATATGTAAATCATTTTATCATAATAGTAGATGTTATAAACATAAACTTTTCACAAGAACAAAGTAAAATATCTTTGGATTCACTATTGTAATTCCCTTCTCAATATGGTATAAATTTTAGTTATCTTTCGATGAATCGGAAGAAAAACAAAGATGATAGTCACCGAGTGACACGCTCTGCCAAGTTTCTTGATATTAAGTAACATGTCAGGTATGATATCCAATTGAGAAAACTTGCCCAAATTTGCGCCATTTTAAGTTATTTAAATTTAAAGTCCATGCTTATAAGGAAAAGAAGCGGCATTAAAACAAACCTTATTATCCTTAATTTTAATGTAACATTAATTTATTATTGTTATTTCTGCCAATGTATTCTAACTATGTTGCCCAATAAACCTAGAAATCCTATTTCATAAAAAATTCATAATAATTTATTATTTTTAATATGCATGTCGGCCATATTGGATCCACCATTTTAAATTTGGAATTCTGATAGCAGATTCGTAATTGCAACCCAAATAACCCTAAAATACCAAGGTTTTTGGCCATCTGGACCACTGTGCGTTGTCTCCCTAAACGTCGCAAGTTCGATTTGGAATTTATTTGAAAAATTAAGTAACGCTCAATAAAAAATATCACACCTTTTTTAAAGCTCAATTTTAGTTTTTAATTTTATTTGCTAAGCACAATTTCGTTTGAAAGCGATTCAACGTTGAATTTTAATGAAATTTTGGCGTGTAAACATTGAAATTTTGTTGTTTTATTTCAAGGGGGCTTCAAGGGGAAATAAATTTGAGCATTTTTCGTATGGAACAACTCTGCAGGGTATCCCGTATCGCCATACAACAGAGAATCGAACGATTCTCTACAAAAAAAAGGAATAAAAAAACGTGGAGTGAAGCCTCTCCATCGGGAGCTGTGTTTTCGGAACGGCGACTGCAAATATCTGGCGCGTGTGTTTGCATTTAACCAAATATAAACAAGTCGGTCACTGGCTCGCTTTCTATGTGATTTTTACGAGAAAGTTTCGAGGATAAAATCCATAACAGAATTAATGGGTTTTAGATGGGTACCGGTGACACAACATAGGGGTAATACAATATTTAAAAATTCAACAACAACATCCCGAGAAAATAAAAGGAAAAATATGAGAAGAAATGTAAAATTTGTATGTTTAACAAATGTATTTGCATGAAGGTACAAGATTAGCAAAATAAACTAGAAACCTAATTTCTATCGTGAATTAATCCATTTTTGAAATTTTTTAGAAAGAAATATAATAACCGTAATTCGAATAGAATAACCTGAAATGAATTTGTTATTAACCTAGTTGAATAAAAAATTGGTTTGACAATTAGATAGTCAATCTAATATACGAGCTTCAAAATGTATCTAGAGAATTTATATGGGGAACGTTGCATTATAATTAGAATGTCAAATCGATCTAATGGCAGTAGTGTTTGAACAGTGTTCTTTAATAGGCTTGTATTAATAAGTTTCATGTTCCTGCTGGGATTATAATTAATGAAGATAGGGTTCCAAATCCTTCTACACTAACGATCAAAACTTAGCGGACAAATTTTTAAACGGTTCAAAAACATGGAAGTTTTCAACCGATTGGAATTAAACTCCGTGAGGAGTAGTTTTATAGTGTCCTCTGGGCGTGTGTAAAGTTACATGGGCGAGGGTTGATGCAAAGGGGTTAATTCACCCCCCTAAACGGGAGGGTGTAGAAGAACGCCTCTTTGAAACAGGCCAGGAATGACGGAAGGGGTTGAAAAATTCAAAAAAACCTTTGGGGCGACTCTCCTTGATGCCCTCTACAAAATGCACCCTTTGAAATCCCTCTCGGACAAACCCACCCCCAACAACCTCCCACCCCCTCTAAAATCCACAATTTTTTGACGATGGATTCGATTTTGGACTCAATGCATTCTCTGGACTCCCCTGACCCAGAAAATGCCATCACCCGTACCGTGCTCCCCATAGGCGCCCTTGGGGGGGGGTGGAACAGCTTGCAAATTTTCAACCCCCTTCGTAAAAAAAAAACTTCCACGCATCGGAGGCCGATGAAATTCACTATGTTTGTTCTCGATACATTAAGGACGAATGCCGAACAGGTCCCGTTTCGAAAACTCCCCACGGAGCTGAAAGGAAGGGGGGACAGAAGTAGGGATGGTCCACCCCCAAGTGTAAGGGTTGGAAAATGTCGATTTTTTTTAAAAACTTGCTTCCAACTTCAGGCCCATCTGCAGGGTGAACGAGTAACCCCATGTCAACGCCGTTCATGGATTCGGACTCACGAATACTTCATTAACAGATCTTCAAAAAATCAGATTTTTTCAATCACGCTTTCGTTGTCAAATCGGAGTAAATATGAAAGAGTAGTAAGTGGGCCGGACGGAGTAGGCATTCAGAAGTAGTAGAAGTAGTTCTGCACGTGTACGTGGTCAGCCCTTACACTTGGGGGTGGACCACCCCTACTTCTGTCCTCCTTCCCTTCAGCTCCGGGGGGAGTTTTCGAAACGGGACCTTTTCGGCATTCGTCCTTAATGTATCGAGAACAAACATAGTGAATTTCATCGCCCTCCGATGCGTGGAAGTTTTTTTTTTTACGAAGGGGGTTGAAAATTTGCAAGCTGTTCCACTTCCCCCCCTAAAGGGCGCCTATGGAGAGCACGGTATGGGTGATGGCATTTTCTGGATCAGGGGAGTCCAGAGAATGCATTGAGTCCAAAATCGAGTCCATCGTCAAAAAATTGTGGATTTTAGAGGGGGTGGGAGGTTGTTGGGGGTGGGTTTGTCCGAGAGGGATTTCAAAGGGTGCATTTTGTAGAGGGCATCAAGGAGAGTCGCCCCAAAGGTTTTTTTGAATTTTTCAACCCCTTCCGTCATTCCTGGCCTGTTTCAAAGAGGCGTTCTTCTACACCCTCCCGTTTAGGGGGGTGAATTAACCCCTTCGCATCAACCCTCGCCCATGTAACTTTACACACGCCCAGAGGACACTATAAAACTACTCCTCACGGAGTTTAATTCCAATCGGTTGAAAACTTCCATGTTTTTGAACCGTTTAAAAATTTGTCCGCTAAGTTTTGATCGTTAGTGTAGTAAAATAAAATATGGAATATAGGAGGTAGAATGTGGAATATGGAATGTGGAATGTGCAATGTGAAATGTAGGATGATGAATGTAGAATGTAGGATACAGAATGTAGAATACAGAATATAGAATACAGAGTATGTAATATAAAATATACAATATGGAATATAGAACATGGAGTATAGAATGTGAAATGTGGTATGTAGAATAAGGAATGAGGAATGTGGATAGAGGAATGTGGAATGATGAATGTGGAATATAGACTACAGAATGCAGAATATAGAATATAGATACAGAATATAGAATACAGGGTATGTAATACAGAATGTATGTTGGCGTCAACGTCCTTAGGAACCTTTTATAGTAAATAGTTAATCGCATTTTAGACTGCGACAGTTTTATGGTAGGGTCAGGACGACCGGGCGTATTCCTGATGAACGCCAGGCGACCACCATGGGCGGTCGGCCGGCGGGAGATGATGCCTCGGCACTAAGTATCGAGTGTCGAAGGTCTGTTTGTTTATATCTAACAGATGTGTCGATTGGCAAGCAATCCGAGGTTGCATTGCCTAAAAGTACAAAGACGTTGTCCTAGAGGATCTGGCCACGGAGTGGGAAAGGCATTGCCTTTTGGTAAGAGGACTGTGAGGTACAGCACGACACTTACCCCAGAACCGTTGAAGGGAAAAGACGTTTGTATTTTTCTAACATATAGAATATAAAACATACAATATAGAATATAGAATAGAAAATATAGAATGTAAAATGTGGAATGTAGAATGTAGAATGTGGAATGATGAATGTGGAATATAGAATACAGAATGCAGAATATAGAATATAGAATATAGAACATAGAATATGGAATATGGAATATGGAATATAGAATATAGAATATGAAATGCGAGACTGAAAATAAATATTAACATAATTTCAATCGTAACTCACCGGTTCTTTGCATCTTCGGGCTGAGCATGGTCACGGCTGAGAAGTATCAATTGTCCAGTGTTTTTTGTACGCGATGGGATGACATAGAAAATACCACTGTGCTGTCGACTGTGTTGCCTGCGGACGTTTCTCGTGTCGCAAGTACCTTAGGAACTTCAATTTCTTCAGTTTCTTCGAGGAACTCCCTCTATGGAACTAATAAAACAAGCAGAAAACAGCACGTAAACTTCTGTACGCAAACATCGCACACAAATATTTTCTAAATAAGTTTCTATTTTTACTAAAATTGTGATTCAGGTTAATGCCGGAAGAATGCATGGAAAGTTCAAATATCAACTGTAATTTCTTTTTAATAATATTCTGACGTTCCAATCGCAATATTTCAAGTGCTAATTAATTACATAAATTCTAATTTATTTTACAGAAATATTTTTAATGTTTGTACGCCATTGAATTAATTAATACGTGTACTAAATAAAAATAATAAACCTTCGGAGTTTCGTATTCTTTTTCTTACATTCCTAATAGGTCACATTATGCAGCAGAAGGTCGCAAATAACATAACATGTCGATATATTTCTTCGTTTAAGAAAAGCTGAAAGTTTCTCAGTGGAAACAGATGGTTAACTGCAAAAAATTCTAGGCTGTTGGGTGCACTTATCAGTAAGACTAATCGAGCAACTTCTAAACTTTACTTGGAAGAAAAATGCGCTCACACATGTGGCTACCCGTGAGTTATTATTGTCTCGAGTATTCTGGCTAGAACGTACAGGTTCCATTCTCCCATTTCACAGGAATAATATTTATTCCAGCTTAAATTCTACTCTATCAATAAATAAAAATAAAAGTAAAAACACTTTTCACAGATTTTATTTTGATATTCTAAGAAATGTACTAGAAATTATAACTTAAGTTTTGGAATCTTAAGAGCATTTAAGAAAATTTAAGTTATTAAGATTTTATTATAATTACAATTATAATTATTATAGATAATTTAAGATTCTATTTTGATAGTCTAAGAAATGTAGTAAACATAATAACTTAAGTTTTGGAATCCTAAGAGCATTTAAGAAAATATAAGTTATTAATTCTGCTACATTTCTTATAATATTAAAATTTCGTACATATGAATTATTACTGTCTCGAATATTCTATCTAGAACGTAGATTTTATTCTTCTAAATTCCACTCCACCAAGTAATAAAATAAACTCTAGTTTATTGCAACCATACAGTTGTTGTTACGATTACAAAAGTAAATTTATTAATTGTACTAGGTTTCTCGCAATATTAAAATAAAATCTGCGAAAAGCGTTCTTCTCAGAATATGATCAGATCACTCGAGCATTCGTGTTCGTTTCTTCCGAAATTTTACACACGTGTATCCCACCTAGTGATTCCCTCGGCGTTTGCAGAAACTTCATAAGGAACCGTCTGTTCTCAACGATGCGTGCAGACACGTTTCTTGGTCGTCAACGACCATTTACTCGCGAGCCATGTCTACCGAATTCTCCAAGACACTGTTTCTTAACCTTTCCAAACTCGCAGTATAGTTTGAAACACATTCTTAATTTTTACGAAAAAAGAAATATGAATAAAAATTGAAATGTTTCTTTGGTTCTTTTCGTTATCTTTTGGGAATAGTATTCCTCCGTAATACTGTAAAATTATTATACAGTCAGTGTAATAAAAATTCGAACAGGAATTAATTCAAAATAAAACTTCATGTATTTATTTTATTCACAAATTTTAGGGGAAGCAAGAATGAAATAAAACGTCATATATTTATTTTATTCACAAATTTTAGGGGAAGCAAGAATTAACAAACATTCCAACACATTTTTAGAGTAGATTTTGCATAAACTAAAGTTTATTACTTTTAATGTTAAACCTTTATTTCTTTTCTTATTAGTTTTATGTTAAATTGGTTGCTGTACGAGTACTTCTTACACTGACTGTAGCTACGCTCAACGAATTTTTCACTCTTTCATGTCTGATAAAACTCAAATAAATATTCTACCAATTCTGATTAAAATTAAAATATTTCTTTAGTCCATTTCGTCATGTTTCAGAATAGCATTTCCCCCATAACCCTATAAAATCATTACAACCATATTCAAAGAATTCTTCACCCTTTCATACCTGTAAAACTCGCATAAATATTCACCTAATTCCGAGTATTACGAATTTCAGCCTGATTTCAGCTGCGATGCTGCTGAAATTCACGCTGAAGTCACTTTGTAATCGCGATACGTTCAATCACAAAGAGTCGCACGCCGTTCCATTCAACTTCCCGCGAGCGTGGTGCCGAATTCCAGCAAACGTGGCGTTCAATCGCCATTGATTTTCGCGTGCAGATACGTCAGACATTCAATCCAGGCCAGCCAATGCGTGTAATGAAATAAATAATTGAAATAAGGGAATATTTATTTTGAAGATCTCGTCGACTGTTTGCCGAACACCAGTTCAATTGTCTGGATCCTCTTTTCTTCCTATTCCACCCTCTTCGGTGCTCGAATAAAATAAACCCAATCTGTCGGAACGTTTCGAACGAGTTGGGAGGATTAACGGAGTTTTATTTGTCGGAATATTAATTTATTGCACGAAAATACCGCTCACCCACTGCGAAATTTCATTAAACGCGCTTTCTTTTTTTTTTATCAGTGTCGACAACGGGACAAATTTTTTATTCTTATTTTCTTATTCTCAGAACGAGCAGAATTCCGATAAATATTGCATCGTAAATGAGCTTCTACGCAGTGGTAAGAACTGGCGAGTTTAATAGTTTCTATTTCCTAGTTTTTTTTAATAATTATTTGTAGGAGTAAATTTAGGGTTTCTAATTTTGCAGCATCTATTTCCAGTTTTCGGAGTTTCTTCTACAAACTAAAGTTCATTATGCAAAATTATAGTGATCGAAGTACTTCGTCCAAGAAAGTGTAATTATATAAAAAAAAATATATAAATATATAAATATATAGATATATAAATATATAGATATATAAATGTATAGATATATAAATATATAGATATATAAATATATAGATATATAAATGTATAGATATATAAATGTATAGATATATAAATATATAGATATATAAATGTATAGATATATAGATATATAAATATATAAATATATAAATATATTTAAAAAATGAGCTTCTGCGTAGTGCTATAGCATGTGTCTGTAATCGTTTCTATTTTATACTTTTTTTTTTAATAATTATTTGTAGTGATAAATTTAGGGCTTTTGATTTTGTGACTTTTATTCGTAATTTTTTGAAGTTCCTGTTGACAAGCTAAATGTTATTGTGTAGAATTATAGTGATCGATGTAATTCGTCTAGGAAAGTGTAATTGAAATACAAATTTAAAATTGTATACTAAATGTACCTAACAGTCAGATGAGATATTCGAAACATTCAAAAAGGAAATGATGAAATGCCTTCCATTTCCGAGGTAATTATTTCTATTTTTGAACAGGAATGAGAATAAAACTGCAGAGACGGAATGAACGGAAAACTCGTGCGTTGCACGCTTGTAAAAAATTCCGCGAAACGTTTCACTTTGATCGTTAAATCAATACTCTTTATTATTTCACTCTTCTAGACGAGTGATATTTTTAACAGAAAGCATTTGTAAACACGTGGATGGATGTTTACGTAAAGATTTACGAATTACAGTGTATCATTTGTTAAATAGAACGCTATATTTTTATTTCAGAAACTGAGAAAGAATTGAAAATAAATGTGTACCACGCTAAAGAACATGAACATTCTGACATTTTAACTGTGCCACGGTTGTTTTCATTAATTTTATATAATTTCTTTCAGCTTTACGATTCACTATGGATTTCCAAGAACGCATTTTATAATAACGTGACCTGTCAGAGGAAAGAAGTTCAGTGAAATTGGAGGTATATTTTCCAAAGGAAACTCGTGCAATGGACTAGAGTAATTATGTCGTGTATGAACACGTAAATATAGATGTAATGTTGAGGAATTGGTTTTAAAATTATCCTTGTTTATTGAAATACGAAAGCAGGTAGCCTCGGAACACCTTGGACAGTGCCGTAAGTGGTACGGGTTCGTATTTAGTCAAACACTGTGCAGTGGTATAGGTTCGTGGCTAGCCAGACACTCTGTATTTGATTCAATGCAATAGCCCAGAGTAATTATGTGTGCCATGTGTAAAAACGTATATTATAGATGTACTGTTGAAAAATTAGTTCGAAATTATGTATTGTGTATTGAAATACGAAAACAGGTAGCCTTGGAACACCTTGGACAGTGGGATCAGTAGTATAGGGTCATGCATAGTCAGACACACTTGTGAAAAAGATTGAAAATGTTCTAAATAAGTATATTCAGAATAAGATATTTGTTTCACTTGGTTAAAAAGTGCAAACTATTAAATAAATTGATTTTACACAAAACAACGCGTTCTTTGTAAATGTAACCAGTATTCACAGCCAAACGCTTCCAATTACCTAGCGAATGGTAACTGGATAGTTCCAATAACACATTTCAAATTACTTCGCGGAGGACAATAAGTAGGAGTAACTGTCCTAGTAATGAAACGATTAAGGCAAATGAAACTTTCAATTCACCAACAAATTAATTTAAATATCTCACACATCGATTTCTTTACCAATTAAAGAAACGAAAAAAGGTCTCTCTAAAATATTGCAAATCTAAATTCTAAATTCTCTATAAATCAACTATCAACTTGTACTTTTAAGAACAAACATTGTCAAACTCTTTGATCACTTTCCCAAATTAATTTAAATATCCTATATGTACATCGATTTCTTTACTAAATAAAAAAATAAAAGGAAAATGCCTCTCTAAAATATTCCAAATCAAAGTTCTAAATTCTCTATAAATCGACTATCAACTTTCACTTTTTAGAACAATGTATATGTACATTGATTTCTGTATCAAATAAAAACGAAAAGAAAAATAGATCTCTAAAATATTCCAAATCAAAATTCTAAATTCTCTCTAAATCAATTACCACTTTTCACTATTACGAATAAACATTGCCAAACCGTTTGATCATTGAGATATGCGTTATCACTCTCAGAACTACCATAAAAATGCCAAAAAAAAGTGGAGAAAATCCTATCTAAAATATCTGCTTGTTTCAGTTTCAAAACCCACGCGAAAATTTTCATTTTTAAGAGGAAACATTGCCCA